TCAGGATAAATCCTGAGGGGATTTGACTGAGCTTATCAGACCCAAAAGCTACAACTCTTGTTTCATAGTTCCTGCTTTACCTTGGATTCAACTATCCAGAAGGAAAGTATAAAAACGAAATATAAGAAATAAAGCTATGCTGTTATGTTGAGCTGTGGGGGACTCAGGTCATCAACTTCTGACATTGTCAGTTAAGCGGAAGACCCAATACTATTATGGGATACTGGACTCTTTTAGAGTATTTTGCTGAGTTTACAAACCTATAATATTCAAATTATGGAACTTAACAAAAAAAGGGTATACAGATGAATGTCCATTTTGTATCTGTGTATTCAGGGTGGTTACGATAGATATATAGGTACATTCTCTTAATGAATAAAGGCATTTGTTCTAATGGTGTTTGTAAATAGGATATCATGTCTGCATCTAGTACAGCAATTAACCACTAAGAAGAATGTATGCAGTGTGTTAATGAATGAAACTGTCCTACTGATTTGATTTGAAACAGTCTCATTGCTATTTGTTTTGGTTTTTTTTGTTGCGAAACCGGGGATTGAACTCAGGTCCTTGTGCTTGCCAGGGAAGCGCTTATTCTACTGAGCTATCTCCCCAGCCCTTCTCATAATTATTTGTTTATCAGTAAAATTATGGCAAAAAATAATAATATATTACATTGAACCATTAAAATATGAGATTTTTCAAAAAAAAAAAAAAGATAGTTAATGGGAAAAAGGGAGATCTTTTCAAATGGGAAGGGACCAATAGATCGAGAGACAGGGGAGCAAGAACAAAATGAAATTAAGATGTCTCATATACAGCAAAGGACCAATTCTTAATGAAGAATGCAACTGTATTTATTGTAAACATGTACTAATAAAAACTGAAAAAAGTACAGTAAAGAAGGAAAATATTAGGATAATTGTTACCACTTTAAAAACCTGTTTTAGGAGTAGAGAGTTATCTCAGTGGTACAGTGTTTGCTTAGTGCAAGACTCTGTATTCAATTTCCAAAATAACATACATACATTCTTTATCTGAATTTTTAACTATAGATTATTTATTATCATTATTATTTTGTATTTAGTACAGGACCTAGAGGGTATCACTATGTAGATCAGAGTTGTAGTGATTCTCCTGTTACCAGCCTCCCAAGCACTGGGATCACAGGTGTGTGCCACCACACCCAGTCTCAATTGCCATCTCAGGGGTCGTGGAGATAGTCCAGTATAATAAGCGCTTGCCTGGCAAGCACAGGATCCTGAGTTCTATCCGTGGTACCACAAAAAAAAAAAAAAAAAAGCCATCTCAGTGTACCGCTGGGGGGTTGGCCAGCACTGCATGCCAATGATCAAACCCTGGCCACTGCGCTCTGTCTAAACAGGCACTTTAGTCCACTGAGCTATCTGGCCAGCCCGGATTATTTATCTTTATAGTAAGTAAGAGTTTTCTCATGCATTATTTAAGACCAGAAAAAAGAAAGTATAACTTTTGCTATGTAAGTAAATATATACATTTAATCACATAAAGATGTATGATATATTTATGTTTTAGGTGTAATTCTTTTCCACTAATATTGTTTTTTTCTTGTGGCAAAGGAGATTCTACTAAAGGCCTTGCTCATATACTACCATTAAAGCACACGTTTTACCTTGAGTTCTACACATAGCCCATTATTTATTTTATTTATTTATTTTTTTTGCGGAACTGGGGATTGAACTCAGGCCCTTGCATTTGTCAGGGAAGCGCTTATTCCACTGAGCCATCTCCCCAGCTCCCTAGCCTGTTATTTATATTCTTAAAATACATATACTTTTAACAAAATAATGTACTCTTACACATTTTCTACGCGAACACGCTGATAGTCAGAAAGGATGGCACCTACTGATATCCCATCTACTTCTTCATTTTCCTGAAAAGGCAAGAAAAAATATAATCTTAAAAACGAGTAAATGCATGTCACTGCATTATGTCTAAAAACTGTAAGTAAACTGGGTCTCATCTAAGAAACCACCTTAGAAGCACAGTAATTTTTTTGTGCAAATATAATCACGTTTAGAAAAAAAGTGCAAATATTTACACCATTCTCTCAGATATAGAAAAAATACTCTTTCACTTGAAACTACATAGATATCCCTTTCCATGAAGAAAGCAAACTTAGGAAGCACTTCTAGAAGCCTTTTACATGTATATATTTAAAGAAACACTAATGTTCAAATAGAAGCCTTTGAGAAATGTCTATTTAATGGCAATATTTTCTTAGATTTTTCTTTTAAATAAAGCAATGGCACAAATAGATGAGGCAGCATGATGATTTTTGCCTGTATGTTACAAAAAGATGATTGAGATAGGCGCTTTCAGAAAGCACAAATAATAGATAGCACCTGTATAAAAGTATGCTTTAGCAAAGATTATCTCATGAAAAAAGTGATGAATTACTACCAACACAGTTAAAACTAAGCACTTCTAGCAGTACTTCCAGTACTGTCCCATGAAGACACAGACTATTCTGGTCAGTACACTCATTAATGACTTATTGGCTTGAAGAAAATGCAAATTCAGAAACAATCCAGGTTGTAGACGATACAAAGGTAGGATGAACTGAAAAGCAAAGATGAGCCAAGCAGACTGATGAATAGGAAAACTTGGGGATTTGGAAGAACAGGAGTAGGAAGAGACAGTGTAAAAAAAAAAAAAAAAAACACTTAGGGAATGAACAATAATACAATGTGGATATAAGCTAGGGAGATATTACTGATAAAACAAATACAAAATATGTGCCTTGGTAGGTTACTAACAATAAATTATATAACAATTCTCTGGAAAGCTGTAAAATAAAATTTACCCTAGCATATGTACATATAGAAAAAACTACTTCTTGGAGATGACTTCATTGTTAATATTCTGATCTTACCATATATGGAAACTTAAAACAAAAATAATAGTCAAAGAAAACAAGTCATACTTCTACACATACCACAAAGACTTTGAGACATACTGAAATTATCTTCTGTGTCCTATGTGATTAAAAATGAACAAAAAATGTACAACAGGAGTTTCTGATGTCTTTGGAGATTAAGTAAGTTTAAAAATTCCCCTCCTAAATTATAGAGAAACATCTGTTTAAATGGCTCCAAAACAAATGATTAACTCTATCTGGTAAGGCTGCAGGAAAAGGGCTATTTCCTTTATTTTACTATTTTAGCAACTTGATGAGAACACTTACTTATAACCTTTCTTTAACCTTTTGAGCCATTTTCTTTCATAAAAGTCATTGTATCTATTAGAAAGTCAAGGCACTGTGTTCCTAATTAAGTGCAAAATAACATATTACAGAGTAATACAGTTACCAAAACCGAAAGTTTTGGTTTTATCCTTATAATATTTATATGAATTTCTGCCTTAAGAAAATATAAACTGTTGTATACTTATGGATATTTCTATAGCCGTATGTGTAATTCTCTATAAATTATGGAAACAAAGAGCAATTTAACAATACAAGTAAAAATGACAGAGATGAATATGTAAACAGAAGAGACAGTGAATTGTCACTGGAGTAAAAGAGTCCAAGCTAATATAAAGATAGAGCCAAATAATTATTCTTGTCTCATTATTTAATTACAAATGAATATGCTGCATAATACAGTTAAATATAAACTCTTGGGCCTAAATGTTAGGTCACATTTAATTCAATTTCCTATGATCCAGTTCTATGGTGAGTAAGCAACCTAAGGACTGTAACTGAGGTTGCCTTGCTTCTTTATACAACAAATGTATTATGCTAGTCCATCAATACAAACTTTCCATATGCTTAATACAAATTATCTGCATTACAAATTAACAAATTTGTATCCTGGAATATACATGAGTCTCTATTATTATTTTAATATACTTGTTGTTACAGGGTCTCACTACACAGCTGGGACTCAAGGATCCTCTGATTTTGAGCTTCCCCAGAGCTGGGATTACATGCATACACTGTGCTCAGCCCGCCCTGGGGGCAGGGCTGGTACAGTATGTGGTGCTGGTGATAGAACCATTGTCCCTGTGTTTGTGTAAGCTCACCTAAGCAGGTGCTTTAGTCTGCTGAGCTATCTTGCCAGGCCCAGAGTCTTTATATTTTTTGAAAATTTATTATTAGTATGCACGTGTGCCATACATAATGTTTACATTTGTTGTGGGGTTAGGTATTGTATATAACACATCATAATTTCTTTTTTTTTTTTTCATATCCTGCCCTCCCATTTCCTTCTCTTTATCCACTTTCCATTTGAGAAAGATCTATCTCTATACTTCCTATTACCTATACTTTATCTTGATCTTCATTTAAATTTGGGTATCTCATACAAGAAAAACATGATCTTTAAGCTCATGTATCTGATTTATTTCACTTAACATTATGGTGTCAAGGTTATGCATAAATCCTAACTCTTATTTGTACTAGGTTATAAAAGAACACAGGTAATTTTTTGGTATTCTGTCAGATTTCAGTTTATAGCTGAAAGGGTGAAATAACAGTGCTCACCAACGGTATACTATATAATTTAATCTGCAGTACAACCTCCTCCATTGCTAATTTGTATGCTGTTGTTTCTTTTGTTTCACCTACAGTTAAAACATTCAACAAAAATATTTCCTACAAATAATACTTTATGCCAGTGTCATTAATGAGATTATTCCCGCTCCTGGGGAGGTTAGCTACCACAGCAAAGGGATAAAGCTAGTGACATGGCAGCCAAAAGCTGAAGAAATGGCAGAGGTATTGACTTTGGGGCCACTATTTAAAGACACATATATTTTTTGGTTGTTGAGAAATGGAAAAAGGGTAATGGAGACAACACAACAAAATAAAAGTACTTGGCTCATTAGACAATAAGTTGTATAGGGCAGATGGAGTCAACACACCCATTAGTAAAAGAAAAAGCAACATGGAATAAAGTAGTTGACATAACAAGACCTGCATCCTGAAGATAACCAAGAGCCAAACACTGTTAACCTAACAAGATGAGAAAGATGACTGCACCATTGAGGAGAAAATTATAGTCATAATGAGTAGAATAAAGAATAAATATCTGAAGGCAAGATGTATAAGTTACCAAATTCTTCCAGGAATGAACTTAAGGATTATTTAATCAATGAATATCTATTACTAAATATCAAAATATTCAAATAATTTGAAGTTTAATATATAATAAACTATATTTTTTGTCAAGAAGATGACTAAAAGCTATTTTATCAAGCATTTATAACCAAAACATAAATTTTTAAAAATTAAGCTTGCCAGAAACAGACAACTTAGAGATAAAGACTGGACCTTAAAACATCTGCCACATGGCTAAGTCATGGGCTCTCAGATATAAATCGAAATTATTTAGCTTATCTGTTATCACCATAAATGATGTACATACAAATATAACTCAGGAAATAAAGTCAGCAATAGTATCATATACTAATAGAAACAGCAGTACATAATGTCACTAAACATTTACATTAGATACTGCTCTCAAATATTGTCCCTGCACTAGATTATCATTATCATTCTCATATTGTAAATAAAGGACATTAAGGAATTCTTATGGTTTCTTCTTTTTTTTTTTTTTTTGGTGGAACCAGGGATTGAACTCAGGCCCTTGTGCTTACCAGGGAAGCACTTATTGTACTGAGCCATCTCCCCAGCCCCAGGAATTCTTATGAAGTCAGCTATTAAAGCAGAAATTTAGCTTCTTGTGCCGGGGAGATGGGTCAGTAGAATAAGTGCTTCCTGGCAAGCACATAGTCCTGAGTTCAATCCCTGGTTCCACCAAAAAAAAAAAAAAAAAGCTTCTTTATCCCTCTGTAAAATGATGAGCTCAGGCAAGCAAGCCCTCAGGCAACCCTTCCCTCAGGAATGAAGACTTGCTGCTTTCTCATCATGGTCTTCTGATTTTCTCATTAATAAGTAAGACACTCCTGGCAGTTCTATCATCAGAACCTCCACTATTAGAGGGGGTAATACTGGGTACCAACACTAGTAAAACTAAGAAATGGGACCAGGATACATTGACCAGTGTGATTCACAAATCTCCTATATGTCTTTCTCGCTGATCAAGTTGACCACTGAAATTAATCATCACACAGAGAAAGGCAAGGAGTTTAAAGTGGACACTGACTACACCTCAGCCAGCTTACCAGGAGCAAGCCTCTTGACTGGCTTCCAGTGGGCCAAGTCCACCTCAGCAGGCCTAACAGGACCTGCAACCATCAGGGCCTAGTGGTCTATTTAGCTGGGCTCAGCTGGAAGGAGATGAACACAGCAGCTGGACCTGGTAAGCCAGGTACTGCCTGTTGAGTTTGAGTTAGTTCAGTAGATCTAGATCTGGTAAGCTGAGGTGAACTGCTGAGCTATGCTTAGCCCAGAAAACGCCCAGAACTATATGACCACCTTTGTGGCACAGAGGTGGCAGCAAGAGGTGCTTGGGTAATAACTTCATTAAAGCCCTACACTGAAGAACAGAAGACAGTGCCAAAAGGAAACCAATCTCACTCTCAATCAATAGAAAAGAAAATATCTCGGGACACACAAAAAACAAGAATCTCTGACAGGAGAGACATTTTATTTTTTTGTGGAACTGGGGATCAAACTCAGGCCCTTGCACTAGCCAGGAGAGATATTTAAGAAAAAGACTCTTTACAGAGAGGCTGTGACTTCAGTGATACAGTTAGCTACTATCAAATGTTCACAAAAAGTTATTGCAGAATTTAAAATAAAGAGTTCTCTCTGAAATAGAAAATGACTAAAAGAAGGAGTAAAATGCATTTTCAGGCCCAAGCCCATGCAGATAAAATCCAGGTGAGATCAGCATAGAAGAAATAGGAAGCAACACACCTGCAATCTCTGAAATAATAGCAACTGAATGAAAAAAAAACAACTGC